TTAAACAAACTTTTCGTGAAATAGAATCCAGGGTACTCCCTTCAGTCTGTCGTTCATGAAGGACCGTGGTATCGGAATGCGCAAAAAATTAGAATCAACGCACTTGCTACGATCCTCAATGATGGAAGCAGCATTCTAACTTTTCCATGCGAACTTCTAACCTAATGCCCTAACTCGGTAAGAGAAAACACGCGACGTGCATAACTTCTTTCCTCTGCTCTCAGCGCCTTAATGGCTATGGGAGCATTCACAGATGTGTGGGCCACAAACAATTATTAGAAAAAAAGGCACGCTAGCTATTTTATAATTGGTTACAGTAACAAGGGCAGAGATTCTAACCGAATACAAACAACTTTATTAGGTGCATTTAAAATTTACGAAATGAATTAATGAATTAGAAATTAAACATGGTCTGCAGCAACTAACATCGACAACAATCTTTTCAATACAAAACCGAAGCAAGGAAATTTCGTTAATTTACAGACGCGTGTCGACATGCTGTCCTAGTGTTTACCTAGTTTCACGCACACAGACGAAGCTTACCCTAGAAAAGATCTTGCGATAAATTCAGTGCTTCGAATGTATTAGATTTTATGTCCTTTCGACAATTAAAATTGAGTGACTTGCGAGTTTTTTCAGTACAATTTAAGCCACTATCGCCTCACTTCGATTCAGCTCAAAACCGTGTTGATCAAAATGGTGCACAAGCAACTTTAGATTTTTCGGATTGATGAAACCTTTCGTTAACTTCCTGCTTTGTTTTCAATAGGCGATATCAAAAAATTCCAATCTGAGATTCAGTGAGACTAGTTACATATCGTCATAAATGCATCATACCATTCATTAAATAACAGTTTTGCTTGGTTGAGGGTGCTAAGATCCATCGCAGAAATGAATTTGCATGAAGTAATGATTTAATGACAAAAATCTTAAAAGGGTTTTCAGTAAAATAAGATTGCAGAAGGAGTTAAAAGGCGGAACCAAAACTAAACTTGACAAGGTGTTGCCCCGTAAACAGAAATAGTTGACAGATGAGAAAAACCAGATTAATTTAAGAAAATGGAATTATAGATCTAAATAAGTGAGGCTAAATAGCTTCGATTAAGGATTGGAGGCACATCGTTGATCAAAAATCATGCAACCTAATTTCTTCTAATTTCAAATCGCTACCATCTCGATAAAGTTCACTCGGTTTAGACGACTTAAGGGGATTTATATTTAGCGCCAGCAAATCCATTCAAAAATGTATTAATTTTCTGACTGGGGTCAGCCACGATGGATAATGTGAAGGTCAGATCAACTTGTCTTAAATGCCAATTTCTGTAAAAAGGTCAAATATCTCGAAAATGCAACAAAGTACACTAAAAAGTGTAAGGTGTAAGGTCACTTCTGGGCGTTCGAACAGTTTAATTACTAGAAGTAACGTCAGCTGTCGGTGGCTCTCACTGCTTGTGCGGAAATTGTAATTAAAATGTTAGTAGTAGGGCCTGAAAGAGTTTAGGAATTATAAATTTCAAATCAAAATGCATTTAAATGCGAGTAATTTAAATCTAGGTAATTTATAAAGCGGGATTTCGGACCTTGCAAGAACCTGACAATTTGTGCGTCCAATTTGAATAATTTTTGTATTTTGTGATATTGCTTGCCTAAAATATTGAGCACTAAATTTCAGCACGATTGTCAAAACGACACAGGAGTAATTGTGATATGAAAAGTGTAGGAACCCCAATTTAGGGACTATGGCCCGTCCTGTAGGATGCTTCGGTCTTGAAAATTTTCATCCAGTTACCTTTGCCCATTTCATTTCAATGAAATAACTGGCTTAGCAGGTGCCTACAGGTTTTTATCTAATTCAGTTCATTTACTGTGATAGATATTCATTGCCATTGAAGTGAATAAGGCACCAGGTGTTATATCCAGTTTGCAATGCTGGCAGTTCATTGAAATTTTTCGGAAAAAACATTTAGGCAACGCAAGCATGCCTGGGCTCTCATTGTAACTTTGAAAACGCTTAGAGCAAATTTGTAAAATGCATGCCACATCAAACGTCTGGTCCATTTATCCTCTTTATCTACATGTACGTATTAAATGGGTTAGCAATGAGTTAATTGAAAGTGTTGTATTTACAAGGGCAAAGTGGCTAAAATAAAACTAAATTCGAGAATAATTTTGCAAGACATGTATGCAGTTTATGGTTCTCAGCTGCTCCACAAAAATGTGTTGTTTAACAAACAAACATTGTGAATAGTATTTGAAACCAACATCTGCGCCACGAATCGTTAATGCAATTTTGAGGGGCCATTGCAATTCTGACGTAAACGAGGTCGGCGTGTTTTTATTTATATAAATAAACTGGAGGTTAATGAACAACCATTGTTTGCAAGTTATGCGTCGGATATCTTGGGTAGAAAATCATGGCACTGCTACAGGCTTATTTTAAATCCAACTCACATACACCTCCACTGGGCTTGTCAGGTGTCTGCAGAACACTACTTCTTACGTAAAGATGCCTGGTGTGTTAATGAGTTTTTTTAAATAGCCAGCCACCACAAAGTTGGGCAAAATTATCATGAACCTTCTAGTGCTGCATTTACGTTATTCGTGTAGTTTCTTAATGTCCACTAAAACAAATCATGAAATGCCTGGTTTTTTGTTAGATATATGTTCTAGCCATTTAAACTTGTGCATTGGATAAATCCTGCTCTATCTATCGGCACCAATCACTTCCCTTATTTTAACTTGCTCCTGTCTCAATAAATAGTTTAAAGAGAGTGAGTACTTGAGGTATGTGTAACCTCACAGCTGATTTGAACAACAACGTCTATCATGTTAATGATGCACCCTCTTGGTATTGCATTACAAGGGACAGTCTCTAGACCACACTAATTTGAACTCTATTGTCAAAAAGGATGGCTTAAAATAAATCCAGGAGTAGCGTACTGTCTCCCACTAACTGACTTTAGCATTGCTACAGGTTGCTTGATTCCAAGTAGGAAATTCGATTCTACTGCTGTAATGTAAAGAATGGCATAACGATACAACAATAACTGGCCTTTTTCAAAATTCATGTTGTAGCTCTTCTGTAGGTTGTATAAACTAATTTAAAATTAAACATATCGACTTTGTTTCACGTTGGCCATAATAGGGAAAATTTACTGTTGGAGAAGTTTGGGAGACCTAATTTAATTGTGGGGCAATTACTTTCGACCTCAAATGAGGTTTACAGTGCTCGGTTAAGGAATGAATGAATAATATTTAAATAAATTCGCGGTTTTTTTAGGTCTTTTCACGTAATCTGAGTTCACTGTTTTTTATCCAAATATCCTGAGATGTGATCCCTCTAACGTTTTGACGCGGTCAGCGTTACCTGTGTAATAAATTAACCATTTCAAGTACGTTAGTGAAATTAGGCTACTAAAATCCGATTAGATGCATAATATACCAAATTCTTCGGAAATAATCAGGAAAACAAGGATTCAATATTACCAAAAATGTGCTCAAATCATTTCAAATTTGATGAGGTTTCAACTATAAAGATAACGCTTCTATAACACAAATCAACAGGAGTTATTGGTATGTACTCATATATATTTATTAAGAGTCGTCAACATTGTACCAACATCGACCATTCTTCTCAGATCTGCCCCATGTTCAACAGACTTGGTTAGCTCACTAAACAACATTTAAAAGAAGTTGGCTCAACGAGTGAAGACCGGAGTGACGCCACTTCAACATTTGTTTTTTTCTTAAAGTCCTTCTTGTTTATACGTAATATTTACTGATGTTAATCGTTTGGGATAGCTTACACACACGTACACATCCACACACCAATGTTTTCATAACAAAGTGAGCTGTCTTGTCGTTCTTAAGCAATCGATTACGATGCCTCAAATGGTAAATGGAATCAAGGTGCAGTAGACAATGCTTCTAACAATTAAATAGTGTACCGTTGACTGAGCTTAAATATGCCGAAGTTCCTGTGTGGAAATTCAGAACTTTATAAAACCACATGGCAGTACAGTATCACTGAAATCTCAGGCTTAAGGAGACCAAATTGCTTCTCAACGCACCCATTTCACGTAACTTAGCCAAAATCGCTATTATCTACTTTTGAAAAAATCGAAGTAAAAGGAACTTTACAGGAAACCAGTCTTTTCTCCGAAAGAATTTGTTATCCTACGTAATACTTTATTTACCTCTTAGTACCATTAGCAAGACATGTTAGAATGTTGGTTTCGCATTTTATGGATGTTTAGAACATCATGTTAATGCTAGTGGAGAGTGGATTTCTACTTTTAACGTGCATTTTGTAAAGATTAGCCACTTAGAAATTAGATACGAATGATTCATTCCCGTTAAACCATTTCTTTGAACTTATGTTTTAGTGGATTGACCTGCGCTTCTTTATTTCGATGATGATTTCTTTATTTTTACTAAATAACCTTTGATAGTCGTTGCGCTAATGAGAAATGTAGACATTGTTGCAGCTTAACATGCAGTTGCAGCGACAATTAACAAGCAAAATCACGGAATTTCCAGTTCGTCGACATTTGGAACTTCCTTTTCTAACCCATATTTATGGTCCACTCACTAACATTTTATGTTCGCATAGCCTTCAAAACAGTTCCAGGTTAATTAAAATTTGTACCGGCCTTTCGTCTACACCATATTGGGTCGTATTTTCTGCTGTCACATTTTGTACAGTAACTAATTTTTTTGTATTACCAAGCAGAATTTTTACTTACAAATCAGGATACACCAAAAATCATGTTGTCTTAACTTTGCCTATTATATTTATCTATGTTGCTCTTGTTTAAGCATCTTGTTGTATCATGCACCTATTAGTCCCGCGTCTTTGAAATTCTCATAGATCTCGTGTTGTCTGCTCTTATCCTTTCACCCATTTGTCTTGTGCAATTTCGAAACTTTAGAGTACCTGACCATACTTTTTAAAGGCTTGTCATTTCTTTTTATCAATGAAGGATTTTTTGGTACCGTGAATGGGGCTTCACTTAAAGTGCAGTGTTTCTGTTGAGGAGTTGTCCTCAAAATATGGACCTATCAAGCGAACTATAAAATTAATCAAAGCCCGAATTGCATTGGTCAAATCAGATAATGGTTGTCTCATTATCCGTATTACTCCTATCGGTCCTCACAGCTATTCCAAAAGCCTGGGCTACATTGTCTCTGAACCTACTCTTCACAAAAAATTTCTAAGACAAGGCAAAGCAACAATTGTTCTCGTGGAGAACGCGGTAAATATTATGTTGATGAATTGCCCTCCGGATTCTTTGAGGGTTTTTTTGAGTAACCTTCGTGCTCAGTGGAAAAGGTTTTCTAATGTAACTCGCCGTCGATCTCTCCTACCTGTTGATGTGCCAAACACATCCCTATCCTTGCTCGATGAACTGAGCCCTCTTCGAATCCTACCCTCGTCCAATTGCAATTCTGTTCCTGTAAGCGGCTCTTTAACGGCCCTTGACTTGTCTCCTATTGGTGTAAGTTTCTAGATCAGGTTAGTTGATATTTGTGGCACTATGAGATCCTTGCACTTATCGTGTCTTTTGTTTGGAGAAGCCCGTTAAGTCTAATTCCACCGGATCAACCTCCCGCAACCTCATGTCAACACCTATACGGAAGCCGAAGAATCGTGAGGGAATGCAGGTTAAAAGGCCTTCACTGCCAATCAAACTCGGCACGGAGGAAAGCTTCAGTCACGTTTTAGAAGATATGTCCAACAAAACTACGCTAACCGCATCTGGAACAACAGAGCAAGCTCGTGTTATCAGTTTGGTAAAGCGCGGTGTGAACGTGTTTTGCACCGGAGGAGCCGGAACTGGAAAGTCACATTTACTTCGAAAAATAGTGGGTATGTTCTTTTAATTGTTGGACAGTGCCTCCGGTGTTGTGAGAAAGTTTATACTCCGCCCATCTAATGCTAGGAATTCTACCTCCTGCTGAGACGGCGGTCGTGGCCAGCACTGGTGTGGCAGCAAGCTTAATCGGTGGCACCACTGTTCACGCCTTTTCGGGTATTGGTCAAATGTTGGACTCAACTACGGAACCAGAAGACCTCTCCGATTCATGGATTACCTCTGTCCGCCAGCGCTTCCTATCCGACCACCATCTTGTCGCCCGTTGGAAACGTATTCGCAGGATAATAATTGATGAAGTGTCAATGATAAGTAGTCGCGTGTTTACTCGGCTTGAAGCTCTAGCCCGTATTGCACGCGATAACTACGATAGTGGAATGACCTTCGGAGGTGTTCAAGTAATTGCATTTGGTGATTTCTTCCAACTTCCACCAGTCGTTTTACCTTCTGTTGGTACCAAAGTGAGTCTGTGGGTTTTGTGGCCTCTTGATGTTAGTGATCTATTTAGGTCGAAGGAAAGTTTGCGTTTGATTCTCCAGCATGGAAGGCATGTCGATTTCAGAATATTGAGTTGCAGACGGCCTGGCGACAGGCTGGGGATTCTGAGTATTATCGTTTGCTCAATGAAGTGCGAGAGGGAAGGTGTCCGTTTTGGGTTCGAAAGGCGCTTGAGTCTCGTACTTGCACTGAGACCAACAAGAAGCAAACATTTCATGAAGCTACCATCCGCCTGTGCACTCATCGCCGTGACGCTGAAATCAGGAACCGAGAAAAGCTGGAAAGTTTGTCAGGTGTGTTTATCACAATTCAGGTAGATCGGGAATCGCACTTTTGCTAACCTGTGACGGCTTTGAGTGTAATTTGCTTTATTATTTTCACGTTAGCTCGCTTTTTTTGCTCAATTATATTTGCTGCTATTATGCATCTTATAAGTGCCGAGTTAAAATTTCATTTCGGTAAATGTTGCTTGCTTTTTCCTGACCACGTAGAATGCCTACATGCATCAAGTAGCTTTCCGCAATTATGTGGCGAATTATATGTATTTGGATCAAGTTAAACCATTTCTCATTTTGCTATTTCAGGTGAGAACAAAGTATTTTTAGCGAAAGATACTGGCCCTCCAAGTTTTCGTCCCCCATCGTCCACATTTGTTGCACCTACTAGGCTTGAGCTCAAGGTTGGCTCCCAGGTAAAGCGTTCATGTTCCCTAGCAAGGTCACAAATAGTAAATATTGCTCCTGAGTTTCTTTAAGCTCATGCAAAATCAGGTCCGCGTTTCCGATATTGGTTAAAATTAGGAACTTGAATACTTCGAGCTGGACACATGATCAAAGTAGGAAGCCTGATTTTTCGAGAATGTCACTCCGCATCGGCATCGTTAAATAAACGATTTCTAGTTTTGTTCTGATTGTTGAGCAGTGGTTTTCCCCGATTCTTTGAATCTGTAGATATTTTAATAGGATATCTCAACTAAAATATATGGATGTCTGCAAGTGGTGAATAATCATTTTGTATGCCTTTTTGTCCAAAATGCAGGTTGTGTAACGTGGTCATCGACTTTGATCTTGCCTTGACGCTGAAATTGTTCGCATGATTGATGCCCATTTTTGCGGTCCGAAACGCGGCCTTCACTTCTGCCTTCCTCATTGTAGGTAATGCTTATTCGGAACCTAGACATAACTCGTGGTCTTGTGAACGGCACCCGCGGTGTAGTTGAAAGCTTCACTCCCCCTTCAGAGGGATCTTTTCCAGAAGTCCGCTTTTTCACATCAGCGCGAGGTTCCATCCGCGAGGTAAATTTAGTTGTACGACCAGAGCGGTGGACTGCTACTCTTTCCGCTGGAGGCAACGGTGGGGAAGTACAATTTACAAGATGTCAATTGCCTCTCTGTTTGGCTTGGGCGATCTCAATTCACAAAAGCCAGGGCATCACCCTCGATGACGTAGAGGTTGAATTGTCTAAGGTGAGGTTCTTTATCATAAAACAAATAGGAAAATGATTCTCAATCAGGTTATGTAACTTTTATTAAGGTCAACGAATGCTCACGTATCAATGAAGCGTATGGAGGGAGTCCGTTTGATTATATCCATGGTACATGGTACTTATGAATTTGTATGCATAAGTGAATGTTGATATTTATAGAAACCATTTGATTAAATCCATGGTACGGAATGCTCCTGAATTTATGCATCAGTGAATGTTATTATTTATGGGAACTGCCTTATGTCGGTTATCTTATTTTACAGAAGGCTCAGTGAACAAGTATACTGTTGACTACTTTAGTAACGCTTTTTGCATGTGTTGCAAAACTCAAAAAAGCCGTTAATTCGTGCAACAGAACATTCATATACATGGTTACGTTGCATTGAAAATCGGTAGCCTTCATACATTCAACACTTCAAACATTCATTGTCTGCCCAAAGGCCTCACTATTATCACGAGGTCAATCGCCCTGTGTTGCTTTTAGCCAAATTAGTATTTTTGCATTGAGACATTGGTCTTTTGGCTTATTGTAGGTGTTTGAACACGGTCAAGCGTATGTAGCTCTATCGCGTTGTCGTAGCCTCAGCGGACTGCGCCTTTTAGACTGGCGCCCTGAATGCATCCGTGTCGATCCCGCGGTAATAAGATTTTACCGCGAAATTCGGGGATCAAGAACAGACCCCTAGAAGTCCAGGTTTCCTTGATGGGTTTTTATATTTTTTTACCTTTGAAACATTTTTATATTGTGAATCAATCTTTTACTTACGCCCGGATTCATTGTATTTTATACCTTCTTCTTGTTTACAGGTCTCGATTTCGCTTATTTTCTCATTCACCAGGACTATAATGTGCCGTGTAGTAGTAATAGTAGGCGTTTTTTTCATTTAAGGCTCCGTTATACATTTTTTAGGAAAATGTATTTTCTTAATGTGCAAATCAGCAAGCATCTATAACTCCATCACTTTCGTTGCCGCCCTGATTATTCCACAGGGTCAGTTCCTATGTGAATTTTATAAGAAGTAGCTCACTCCAAATCCATTAAGGCGTGAGGAGAATAACCGGTATCTAACCGGTCGATATAAAACCGTCGAAACACGGCACTACTAGTCTAGATCAGAGTTCCAAGGCACACAGGCTGTGCTGGTTCCTTTTTAATTTTGTTCATTTTGATAAGCTTGAGGATCAGGTCTTTCTCAGGAAACCTACTAGTCGCATTGTTTTTTTTGGAATTCCTGTCGCTACGTTATCTTTACAACACTTCAAATGAGTTGGTAGCTGCAGTAGCATTGTTAGATAACGGTAGACGCCCATAAACAGGGGAAAATGACTTTGAAGTAGCAGCATGATCCCTGAGAAATGCAGTGCATGAAGCTCTGTTTGGGCTCCAAAGATCGGTTAATTGACTTGAAAACGTCAATGCCAGCCGATTCTTTACTGTAACTGTGTAGGCTTTGGCTGCTCAGGTGAACTGCTCTCTGGAATAGCTTCAAATGATGTAATTTGACTAAACTGAAATTACTAGCTCGAGCTGTTGATAGTTTCAAATTGGAGTTGGTGGGTTTGCTGTTGGTATATTGATAAGAGTGTTAATAATAAGTTGTAGTGAATCGTGTTGATTCACGTCCAATAACCCTGTCCTCGCAGCTTTCAGCGCACCTCCCCCCTTGTCACGTGAGA